AGGGTAGTAATGAGAAAGGAGGGAAGAAGCAGGATTTCTTGAACGGTTTGGAACATTTCTGATCATTTAAGCTTTGGAAGAAGACTTGCTTTGCTGTCATTGTCATCCTACAAGTCCTGTTATTTGGAGTGTTCATTTGGAGCAGCCACATTGTATATCGTTATGGTTAAATATGAGTATTAGCTTTCCCGTTAACAATATGAATTTGCTCTTTAAAAACCTCCCCAAAGATGTTCATGTATATATGTACAGAAACAATGAACAGAAAACATAAGGCAGTTGATGATGGAGTGTAATGTGCATTGAGAATATGAATGATTTCCAAGTGGTAAAATAGCAAGTTAGGAGATAGAACTTCTCCCAGATGAATTCTAGCATTTAAACTATCTTATCATACAACTAAAACCATGTAGTTTACAGACACCAGAACATGTTCTGCCCCCCTCCAAGGTTCTACAAGGTTCTAGCACATTCTACAATTTTGCTGTTATTTTCTTATTCCTTGCATTGTAAAGGCTGCTTTACTAACAAGAATCCAGAGATATGGATATTAGAATAAGAACTATAATAAATGAATCTTAGAACTAGAAATTTAGAACTTGTAAAATTTGGCTTCATCTGTAGTGGTTCAAGAGCCATTTTCCTATTCTCAGGGAAAGGAAAATCAGGACTGAGGCAGAGTGAAGACTCCTAATTTTCCTTTTTGGTTAAGTTCCACTGGTTTTAGTCCTGATAAGATGAGAGGAACACACAATGATATTTTTCATTTGTTTTTGAAAGGAAGAAAATACAACAGTACCTCAAACTGTAATCCGTCTGATACCTGATAGATTTTGGAATGGGACCTAAAGGTTTGCTCTTCCATGTCTGACTCTTGATAGTTTCTTGTCACTTCTTTGAGTCATCTTCTGTTCCTGTATTGAAACTGAGGATATCAAGCTATATTAATTGTTAAAATATTTTTCTTGTCCCATTCTTTTTTTGACCAAATAAACCCCACTAGATACCTTAATGTAGTGTAATTTTTGGGAATAATTCTGGTTATAGAGGAATTAAATATAGAAGTGTTAATTTGGCACCCTTCTCTTAATAACTTTCTCAGTGCTACTATCTACTATAATTTTATTTTTCTGATATACAAGCCAAAACAGCTATAGTTTAAAGTCTGAGGCTTAAAACTTGGCTGAATTTTAGCTTTGATTAGCTAAAAAAGGTATGACAAGTTGAAAATTGATTATAACTGAATCAAACCTAGTAAAACAATGTCAGAGTAGACATTAATTCTTGGTTTTCTCAGTTAATGTTTTTTGCCCAGTTTAGTAATGGTAAAAGTGTAATATGAGATGCAGAGAAGAAGAAAATGTTAAAAGGCAATGCATATATGTTTGATTACTTGGAGCTGTGGTGATATTTTTGTTTTTCAGGAGTCAGAGGAAAGATGTTACTATTTTTCTTATTATACCTAAATATACTTCAATTATTTAGCACATATAAACCTTGCAAATTCTGTCTTTGATTAGTGGAAAGGCATCAGATCAAATGATGATGTACTTACTATCACAACTATGGTTGAGCAGCCACTAAAGTGGCTGCAGTTCATTCTTGTTCATACCTGGCTTTGTATTTGAATTTTAAGCAAACCACTTTAAATAGTTGTTTATCTAAGATACCACACTTCTTTAAACTGTTCCCTGATACGATGACTTACATAAGAGGTTGGGAGGCAGACGTTTTTTGAAAGCCAAGGAAGTTACAAATGGGAATAGAAGATCTAGTAACTCCTTGAAAAAGATTACTTTATTTGGCTCTAGTAAAGACCTACAAGGCGACCTCACTTTTGGTTAAAGGCACATGTAGTTAGGGCTTGTGAAGTGTGTTGTGCTGAGGAGGTAAAAAAAAAAAAAGCCAAGAAGCGGTAAGCACTAGTTGATAAATGTAAAGAATTCATGAAAATCTGAACCCACTATTTCCTCTGTGACTATAACAAGTGTAGACTGAGGCAACAAATGTCAGGATTGTAGAAGCAGATCCACATCAAGACTGACACCTCTCCATCACAGTCCTGAAACTGGCTGTTGATACAAGATGACCCTTGCCACCCTGTGTCAAGGAAGTTCATTGCACAATATATAGAAGGAGAACTGAATTACCAAGAGCACCCATATTGACTTCCTACCCTTTGACTTTGTGCAACACATGCCATAGGCTACATCCTGCTGTAACCTTACTTGAAGTGATTCAATGAGCTATAAAAGGGAGATTGCTTCAAGAGTGCCAACTTGATATTAGGTCAGTGGCCATAGATTTATGGAACATCAGCCGACCAGGATAATTGTGTAATTAATTAAGGAAAAAAGTGGTGTTTCAGCAGGGATAATTAGTTGTCCAGTATAGCAGTTAGTCAAAAGACTTAGTGTCATAGTACTGAAGGAAGTATGTAACTATAGGAGTTAGAGATGGCTATCATCAAATAGCTAAATGTATGTTTTAGTTAATTAGTAATTTAAGTAGTTTATTTTCTTGGAATTTGTAAAAGCTTTGAATGGATATCATGTATCTGTTCTGTATTTACCCCATCAATAAACCTTAAATGGTGGTTGTTATCAGACAAAGAAGAAAATTACCTCATTTTTTAACTCCATGGTTTTTTTGTGTTTTTTGTGTTGTTGGTGTTTTGGTTTTTTTTTTTGTTTGTTTGTTTGTTTTTTTTACAATCTTGGAAAGACATTGTTTTATGACATCTTTATGTTCATATTTACTTTTTAGAGTCAGCTGGAGCCAGGCAGATGTAGGATATATGCAATGAACATAGTAGTGTTCTAGGTAACAACTGCATGTTAGATTAGAATTAAAGGAAATCGTCACGTTTGGCTTTTATTTTTAAAATTGTCTTAATTCTAATAATTTATTAAATATGGGACATGATTTTGATGATAAATGAAGAATAATGAAAGACCTAATTTAAAGGGCAAGATACATTTTTTTAGTCATGTCAATTCTCTATGACAGTTTTCTGTTCATACTTTGGAAGAGTAGACTTTCTGTTTTACAGAAGTGATTACCTGACACTACTGGCAATTATGATCAGTCCTGAGCATCAATTATGATCAGTCCTGAGCATCAAAATTTTCTCATGAGAATAAAAACAGTCCACACTTTAAAATCAATTAGAACTTAGCATTCTGTTTTGACTGTAAGCATGTCTTAAAATCATAAGGTTCTGAGAATCTTCAGCTTCCCCTTAAAAGGGGAAACCTTATATTTATAATAAGGAGTTATTGCTATTTCAGGGTACTGTGTGATACACCTTGTCTTCTTTTAAGTGACTTGGAAAGATTTGAGCCTTGCCATAGATAATTTATTCTGTACTTTAAAGGCTTGTATGACTAGCTGCAATGATTGGCTGCATCTCTCCATAGAAATAAAGATTTTTATCTGGAGATTTTTTTTACAGCATAACATCTCTATTTTCTTACTTGGCCAACTAGTGGAATAGCCAATACAGGATCAATTCTGTAGTACTATTTAAACTATATTAACAGTGTCTATTATAGAAAAGGAAGGCTTTTGTTTCTGAATGTAAAATTTTTATATATCTTCTAAAAAAAATACATAAATTTAAAAAACTAACTACCTCTACATGCCATTGGAAAAAAAAGTTGGAAAGAAATTAGCTTTTATGGATATAAACTTATGGCTAGCTAAATCCCCTGCAAAGACCGGTAAATGTATTATTAGACTTTGATTGAAGTAAGTGTTAAGCACCATTTTCTACCTTTTAAATCTTTCTGAACTCATGCTGAAAACTACTACCATGCTATAGCATTACTGAAGAACACTAATTTTGGCATAAGGGCTAATTAGCAGAAAATTTGGAAAGATAATTCAAAAATTGTCAGAAGGTATTTTTTGTATACATTTTTGGTTTTTTTTTAAGTATTCAAAATTGTATTTAATGTGTGTGTTATGTTCCATAAAGTAAATATATCTGTAAAATAAAGATTGTTTGAAAGATGGGATTTTTTTTCTTTGTCTGCATTCGGGCCAAAGGTCTGTTTTCTATAAAACTTCTGTCTAAATGACAGAGTAATTTCAACTATTTCACTATATTGATTACTAGTTAAAAATACTTTGTTACATAGTGTATAAATAGCCCAATGAATAATGACATATGGAAAGTGACATAGATATTTTATGATATTAGGGTAAAAGACTTGCATAGGATGAGTTAAGTAAATCCCACGTTAAAATGCCATCATTGTTTAAGGAAGCCTGAATGTAATTCCTCAAATGGTAATTTGGTTTTTCACGTATCTTAAAATTTTTTTATTTCTCTTTTTGCATTTAGATGCTGGAGATTCTGCAGTCAAGTGCATGTGAATACACACATGCACACACAGATGCACACACACACAAAGTTCCTAATTTTATCATCTCTTTGTTACTGTCTTGGTACTTCGACTTTCCACACTTTGACTTCCACTGCTTCACATTTGAGTGTGAACTTCCTGGGGGGGCGTTCTTTTATGTTTTAAATTACTCAGAATTTCCATCTGCTTTTATTTGACTTGTGGTTGTGAAGATCATGCTTGGCCCATGGGATCTTACACTGTGCCGAGAGGATGTGGAGTTTTGTCAGCCAGGGAAATATGTCTGGCTTTTTTTTTTTTTTTTTTTTTTTCTTCAGCAGCTTTCATATGCTTCTCTTCTTGTGTGGTCCCACTAAAACTGAGTATATTTAACAGAAATACTCTCCTCCTCTATCTGCTGTGTGCTGCTCTCTTTTAAGCAGACTGTGTGTAAGAAATCTGAGATCCAAAAAATTTTAGTCTTGACTGAAAACAAGGTAGTGTTACATGAAGGGTACTTTAATAGTTGCACATTCCAAATTTATAACAGCATTCCACATTCTGGTTATGCACAAGTATTAGTAGATCTGCAGTTACCAATAAACATCCCAGTTATATCTATGTTGAATATTCTGTGCTTTCTTTTTGCAGGCACTGCTACAATCTACAGTTCAACAGCAAGGAGCAGCTGTTGAAAAACAGTATATACTAGCAATTGAAAAACATTCTCACAAATGTGAAGAACTTCTTAATGCTCAGGTATGGATGTGAACATACAAAAATCTTCATGATTTTCTTTTAGTTTCAACTTTTTTCTGTTTGAAAAAATATTAACATATGTGATCACCAAAGAAAATAATCAATCTTTCACCTTGTGTGCTCAGCATAACAGTACACACAAATACTTAAAAATGCAAAATAAAAAATGACTCCTCATCTGTTGGGACCAAATGTGTTTTATAACATTTAAACCTGCTTAGAACAGATTCAAGAGGAGTGTAGCACTGAGAAAAAGTGTTAGAGCAACTTAATGCTTAGTCCTTTAACAGCTGCCATTTTCTGTAGTCTTGGAGAAAACGTGCAATTCTTTTTCATTTATGTTGTTAAATGCAGGATTTGATTGGATTGGATTTGCACAAATTTTTGGTCCAAATTTTTTTATGTTCTTAGATAGTAGACACAAACATCTGTTGTCCAAACCTATTTTTATTTCATAGAAATCTTACATAAAAATTAAAAAACTAGCCGTGATGAATTAAATAATATTCAGAAATACAAATACATAAATAGGCCTATATTGGCTAATTTAACATGACTTGAGTAAAAGCACACTGCATAGCAAGTGTTTGGAATCACATCAATTACCGATGAGTATCTGAGCAGTGTAAACCTTATTTGTAAATGAAAATATCTCGGTTTTACTTAGGTACGGTTCTTGAATCAAAGTAATAGTGAACATTAGTATATTAGTTAAAAAAGAAAAAGCACTAATTTGCTAATAGCATCCTCAAGTTGTTTACACTGCAATTAACAATATTAACAGTTAACCTTTTAAGTATTGTTAGCAACAATTCTACTAAAAATACAAAGGATAATAGTTTGCTTATTTAATTTTCTTGGGGTATATTTAGACCTAAATACATCAAAAGTCCACTTGAAGTATTCCACCATTTCCAATGGTATTTTATGACCATTTCACTGTTAAGTCCATATCAATTAACACTTAGTGCAGACATATATTAAATATATAAACGTTTGTATAAACAGTATGAAGGAATGATGTAATAGTTTGGAGAAATCAATTCCATCATGAATGAGGAGTGTATTGCACAGAACTACAGTTATTTAATGCTTACCATATAAAGCTCTGCCTAAAAAGCAAATGAAAATGAATTTTAAGAAAATGTTTTGTGTTTCTGAAATGAACATATTGTTTACTGACTTGATACCATTTTCTGGATGTTAAAAAGGAGTGAATCTCATGAAATCTGGAAAAAGTACTGGAGGATTTTTTGAGAGTGTACTTACAGATTGAGATTTTGACACAAATATTGCTCCCGTTTTTTTCCATTGCAAACCAAACGGCAGAGACAGAAATGTGAAAACATGTTCAAGAAGTTCTGCTTTACCTGGGGAGAACCCAACAATGCAAGAGACCTATTCTTGGGTGTAGGACAGGAGAGTACTTATGACATAACACAGTGCCCCGTTCACATCATGTCTACATTTAACGCAACTTAACACCGCCTTTGGATCCCAGAAAAGGTTTTCATTTTGTTCACAAACTTCCAAGTCATTTCTCATTCAACTCAATCAAGGATTACCACCTTTAATTGTAATATAAAACTGGGATTTGAAGCCTAATCAAGTAGACAAGTGTGAGTGCTTATGGCAGAACTACCAGGTTTAATAAAATAGGATTTATACTGGCAAATTTTGTTCACTCATAAATCTTTGTTGGAAGAGATCTGAGAAATGTGTAGTACGATTTTACTCTTTTTTTAATACATTCATTCTTAAATGTATGGTTTGGTGTTTAGCATATGGTTTTGTTCAAATGGTTTAGTTCTGTGCTAACAGTTAAGATTGCTGAAATGAGTACTAACGTTTATACACCAAGTTGATTAATACACTATGTTATGGGATTGTACATGCATATCCACCTTTACATGGAGAATTATGAGTATCTATATCACTGGAAAGATTTTTTTTTTTGGTGCAGCAGTAATCACACAGTGCAAGTATGTTCTGTACACAAACACAGCTTCTCTTTTTTTGTTCCCTTCTAATATTATTACCTTACAAGCAGTATTTTGTCTTCAAACTTTTAATAAGTAAAAGAAGCCCATGTAAAACTTTGTCAACCCATGTAATTTTTTGTCCTCATTTGCCATTCCTTCTAAATTTCTGGTGTTTTATTTCCAGTTCCACAAAATCAAGATTATCTTATGTAATAACTCCTTCCTCATGCTTTCTCCTAACCTTGTTTTCCTCCGAAATTCCCATACCCCTCCCTCCCAAAACTGTCTCTTTGAGAAGGGGGAAAGGCTGGGTTTTTCTGTGTTTAACCTATCATTAGAGTTTATTTAAGTTTCTGATTTTGAAGCTGAATTTTATCAGGGTGTTGTGCTTGTGATGGAGATGCATGTTAAAAGTCTATCTAGAGAGGTACCATACTGCTGATATGGTCAGTGTACAAGGCTGTATCTTCCAGGATAGGGGAAGATGTGAAAGGCCTAGTCCTATAGTTCTATCTCAGTTTTCCACTGGACAAAATTCTGCAATTCATCTTTGATCATTACATGTGAAGTTTTGCAGCATACTGGCTAGCTATAGGTAACATCATCTACAGAAGGGAACCATCAGCCCATCAACACAAATTGTCTTCAGTTCTCTATCTTGTTTCAGGTCTGTCAGCTAACTTTTAACTGTACTCTTACACTAGGTCTAACTGCATAGGTTTGCGTTTTAGGACGTTGATAAAATTACAGAAACTTCTCCAGAGTAAAATTCTGAGTCATTTTCTGTTGTGGCCATTCTGACAGGTGCCTTCCCCACTGATCCTAAAGTAAGAAAGTTCCGGTCTATTTTGTAGTTTAGCTTCATCTGCTTGAAGTTTCTATGTGTGTGTTATATAGTACTTTTTCTTCCTTCAAGTGAGAGAAGTCTCAGATTTTGCATTTTAAGCCTTTCAAAGCATCCGGGAATAGTTGGCACAGTTTTTAAAATATCTCCTTGAGTAGCTTTGTTCAATATACTCTCTGACATACTGCACTGAACTGCCTCTCGGTGAAGTGTCCTTCTGTGTTAATCGTTATCACTATGCATTGCTTTTGAAACAAACACTTGAGAGATGAGTATCAGTTACTACTCAGTTACTGTCCACAGATGCCAGGTATTTCTACATCTACCCTTTTCTTAGTCCGTTAAATGCCACTTGTCTTGAATATCCAACCTCAAATGTCCCCTAGGTCTGCAGCTTATGGGTCTCCTTTCCCCTTTGCTGGAATGTGTTGAAAGGACCAATTCCCTCAAAGAAATTATGATCACTGTAATGAATGCTTCCTGGGGAAAAATCTTTAGGGCTGCTGTTTTTTTTCAAGGAAATACACTCTCATATCAACATTTCAAAAAGCAAGCGAGGCATTCTGATGGCATGTTCAGGGGCACCAGGGTTGTAGTGTCTTTCATCAATGAACAGGACAATGAGAACTCACCTCTATGCCAGGAATCAGTCACATCATATAGTGTATATTTAGGAAAGCGATACATGTCAGTTATACATTTCTAGCATTTGAGGATATCAGAGAAAATGTCATTGGAAAACACCTGTCAGTTTATTACAAGTTGGAAAATCACAAATTTCATCCTTATCTTTTTCTGAGACACAAACATATTTGATATTGTCTCCTGAAAACAAACACCAACTTTGATCTTGTGGTTTAACTCATGTGCCATATGAAAATACATACTGAAAAACATGATCCAACAAACCTTTGAATGTAAATTTTTAATACTTAGAAAATGAAGGCACATATAACTGCAAGTTAATAAAAGCACTTCAGTATAGACAGGTATTGGTCAGTGCTAGAAGTGAGATGCCACATGGGGTAGAACAATATGTATCTTATTAAGTATGAATGCTAAAAACAAACCAAAAAACAAACCAGACATCTGACAGTAAAATTTATCTCTCTGTGAGGTTGCTGACAAATTTAGACCATAGTTCTACCTTCTTTAGTAAGTGCTAGCGATCTTGTATGACAAATAAGGCATGGAAAAGGTCTACAGGCTATGCATACTCAATTTTTAGCGGGAAAGAGCAGAAATTTTTTATATATATAATTTACGTTCAGTAAATATGTCTCATACTTATGGAGAAATATGGTTTCATCACTGAGACTTTGTAACCAAGCAAATGTCTGGGCTGGATGCTGGATGCAGCTAGCAGAGGCAGGTATCACTGGCAATATTCTGCTATTCCATACTGTAATATGTGGAATAGGGTGTCTTTCACCTTTCCCCGTTTTCCAGTGTTTGAATAGAAGTAGTCTGTTCAAACATCAAAGTAGGTTTTTCTTCTGAACATAGAGAAGACATAGAGACAGAGTAACTTTAAGAAGCATGGACCATAAAAGGCACCATAAAAAGATGGAGTAAGCAATCATCTATTATTTAGAAGTATTTACTGTGTACGACTAGGATATGCTAAGGAATTTTCTCATCAAGTTTGCTAGACCATGAGCATGGTAATGTAAAAGGAATGACCACTTGCCCTGGAAGCCCTAGAAATGATGATGTATCAGAAATTTCTCTTACTATTCAATCAAAGCAGATGGTGTTAAAAACGTAAAGTATATTGAGGTTGATTTTTATATTCATTTTAAACAGTCAATGATCTGTGTATTAAGGTAAAATAAAATCTTGAATACCTGCAGCGAATCGTTTCTCATTTATGAAAAATCATTTTCCCTCTATTTATTTATCTTGCACTTTTGTTTCCATACCTTGATGGTCACCTTCCTCACTGACTTCTAAATAGTTGGAAACAAGCATTCTGGAATGGGGAGGGATTAAAGTATATGTGAAGTGAAGCTCAGATCACACATTTCTATCTCAAAATTATGACTTGACAATATTCCTTTTTTTCTCTATGTCTTCCTGAGGAAACAGTATCAATCAAAGAGATACAACTGTACATTCTGTGTGGTGTTTTCATGCTTGAATGTAGTTAAGGGGAATATATTTTACTGTGGTCC